CAATTCCTGTGATTTCTAAAGATATTATATTATTCTGAGAGTAGAGTCAGTGGTCACCGGATAGGATCGCATACAGTGTGGTCTACGCTAACTTAGCACGCCTGTATTTTCTCCTTGCAATTTAGTGATAAAAAAAAGTGAATACACCTTTTTACTTTTTGAAGTACACATAACACTCGGATTTAAATCCGAGGTTTTCGCATTTATTTTTACTAAAGCTGGATAAATTAATTTATCTATAGTGTACAGCAATTATCAGTTTTTAAGACCAACTTCCTAATAACATCATAAGTTCCTTAGAGAAATTTGAAAATTGTACAAGTTTTTCGGTTGGGATCGGTTCGACTAGGTTAAATATTAATTCGGTTCGATTCGGCTCGGTTAAAATTTTTAAAAATAAAAATCGGTTGTGCTCGGTTCGGTTTAAAAAAATCCTTAACCGATCGCATCTCTGATAGCGATACGACCTTTATGAGTTCGTATCGATCGATATTTCTCTAGTGTGTTAATACACAGATGTGTAGCTCTTGAAAAGCTCTAACCAACCATGTTAATATTGTCTTGTTGAGCTACAACTATGTGTTATAAAAAGTCTGATTTTCATTGAAGGTCGGACTCAATTACAGGCAATATTCATGCACTGACTCTACCGATGCAGGCATTGCAAAAACAAGGGTGGGAGGAATAAATGTACTAGAAACGATGCTCCAACAGTGTCTATAGCAGTTTCACATAGATTCGATCGCATATTTTTGGGGGACCGATTTCAGCTGACAACGAAACCCCTACTTTTATCGTTTCGCATTTGGTCAAATCAAAAAAGTGAATGCTCTAATCTAGTTCAGGTTGTAGAGAATTAGTTTCTCTACAAAACCCGATATCTGGCTTCTCGTGGGAATTCCGTTTTCCGCCAAGTTTTTTCTTTTCAAGATCGCATACTGAAATTTGCGGGCTGTGGTCAATGAGTGACTCAGTGCATGGTAAAAAGATAGAGCAAAATGGATCATGTATTAATCAAAACGTAGTCAAGACCATGAGCATCAAAACAATATACAACATGGACGTATCTCTAGAACGTATTTTTGTATCAACAAAGAGATTAATTTTTTGAAAATTTTCAAGTTTGTCGCCACTTATACTCATGTGCTTTTCGGTTGATTTAAAGAAACTGGCAACACAGAAAGTCTTATATCAGCGTCGATTACAAGCTCTGAAAGTCTCAGGCGATTTGAAGATACTTGTGTATATTCTAGTAGAGACCCACAGGTAAAACCTTTTACTGTTCAAGTCGAACTAAAGCAGCTAATCATGACATTTAAATGTCAAGAAAAAGAAAAAAAATGTAATCACGCGAAATGGTATCAAAAGAAAAACAATAACCAGTGATTCAGGATTCATGTGGGAATTGTCTACTTCTAAAATTTGATCAGCTTAGCTAACTATACATTAGGTGGTTACGAGTAACGCTGTAATATAATGCAGCGTCAGTGCCGCATGTCGTGATTGTCGACATATGTATGAGTGCTTCTTGCTTGACGACAGTAATTGTTGAGTTTAATTCATTTTTCTTTTCATGTATTCATTTACTTTACCATTATCACCGTCCATAGACGATTTTACATTATACATGAATTCTTTTAGTTGTACATTATTGCTTTCTATTTCTGTGACGTGATCTCAAGTGAAGTAAATTGCGCAATCTTGTCAACTTTGATTCCCATGCTTGTATATTAGTAATTCGAAAAAGCTAAAATACTTTTAAACGTTGATGTCCCATTAAGTATCTCAACAGGTTGCAGAATATCAGTAATAAATAACAAAAAGTTCAAGAGGCATTATCAAACTACATGAAACTAATCAATATTTGTATGTGATACATTTGATATACGATTAACTTCTATGCCATATGTTCATGAGAATGTCACTTCAATGAGTTTTCTTGTAATTGATGTACCAGTCGGTACATACAAATATTTTTTTGTTCATTGATATATGAAAAATAAAATTATCACTATTATGACTTCGACTGAATCAGGCTTGAGAATCCTTTGTAATTCTCTGTCCGTGATATTTATTTACTTGCTGTATCATTATCTACGATGCATCTTCTCTGTTGTTTTTTATAGGTTTCTCGTTATTTCGTTAAACAGTAGTAGTAGTAGTAGTAGTAGTAGTAGTAGTGTAAGTGACCTTGAACTGAACAAATAAACGGATCAGTGTTACCTGTTATATAGAATAAGACAACTGATGAAAAGTGATTAGCTAATACTTGTTAAGACGTATTAATAGTTTAATATGATAAGTATAAAACAGAATTCCTAATAGTTTAATTTGTTATGGTGACTGTTAATCAAAATATATTGAGAATTATTCACTAAACAAATAGATCTTTATTTGCTAAATGAAACAGATTTGTTCATTTATTATTGACATTGGCTACGTTAGTAGTATCAATTATTTATAAATACGTTAGAATTCCATAAAATAAATGCTAACCTTAATTTTTTGTTCTATGTATGAAAAGATATCCTTGTATGAAGATTCATCTCAAGTATATTAATATAGGAGAACTTGTTTGTCTTTTATAATCTTAACATTTCAAATCAAAGTCTAGTTCATTTTTTATTTGTACTTTCAATGTAACATTCGTCAAAGTTTAAGTTTGCATATTGATATACGCATGTGTATTACGTCATACACGTAGCAGCTAGAAAAGATAAAGTAAAGTAAAGATTTGATTAGAAAAAAAAAAGAAGAGAACGCGATAAGAGAAAGACGAACTGTATACTATAGGCAAATAACTAAACCGTGTAATTAACGATAGAAATCATAATTTGTTAATCTCCATGTTGATAATATTGATCTAGACGACGAAAAAGAAAAAATTGTATCAGAAAGACTTAAAACCTACTTTCTCATGCGATCATTTCTTTTATTTATATATCTATTGATTCATTATGAAAGAATATCATCTATGGTATTAGAAATTATGTTTTGATTTTTGTATCTAGGTGGCATGATAACACGTCGTGTGGCACGTAATTTATTACTTCATTTATCTTCCAGTACGCTTCCAGCAAGCGGTGCTTGTCTACTTGTTTGTAGTGTGACACATTTAACAAGTTATTATTATTCTGTTCTACGACCAATGCTTTCCAATGATCCAATGTTATGTTCAACATGTCTAGAAATACGTGCATTTGCTCTCGGAAGTTTTATACCTCTAACATTTGGAACAAGTATAGCAGTTCTAAGTAACTTTTCAACATGTCTAATAAATAAAACTATACGTTTACCACAATTTCAAATTCAAGCATATCCTGAGTGGATACGTTTTTTTCGTAAACATGCATTTAAGGGAATGTCTCGTGGACATTTTTTTGCTTTTCCATTAATAAATGGATTTTTAGCATCAATGATATTTATGGGTCAAAATTATTATTGGAAAAATAATCTTCAATATCGTTTGGCTACGCTTGAAAAAGAATTATCTTATTCAGAACCTAAAAAACGAAATAAAATATTTGCATCTATTGAAGATTTTTTCATCCGATTGGTTGGTAGAAAAACAAAATAATGAATGAAAGAGAAATTGAATTGTTTAGTACAATCTCCTTGTTTGCGTATAGATCTTGACGATTTGTTAAAATTTAAACATAAAATCCTCAAAGCGTGTTTATTCGTTTTCAGATCGAAATGGCAAAAGAAAAGTCAGAAAATGTGCAACAAGCCACAAGTAAACTGACATTATTATTTGTAGCTATTGCTGGGGGCATCGTGGCTATATGTCTTCAGCCATTAATAATTTTATTGTGTGCACATCTTGGCATAACGATTGCGCCAATATCATATCAAGAAGTATCTACTAGAACAACTCCCGAACAAATACCATTAACAACAACAATCGCCACTACTAACAAACCACAAACGACTACCATAAAAACAATCGTAGTAAAAAATGATCCAACTATTGATGAAGAACCTATATTATTAAAAAATGAACCGATAACTATAAAATTTCCTGAATCAACAACGACGACGACGACGACGACGACGACGACAACAGCAACAACAAAAAAACCGAAATCATCAACGACAAAAACAAGCACAAAAAAAGTTGAGCAATCAGATGAAACATCAAAAACAGCTAAGTTGGAAAAAGAACTTTCACAACCGGATATCATCGATGTTACAGGAAGAAATAAAGAAATTCCAGAGGAAGTTAAAAATTTCAAACCAACTAGAATAAGTATGTTTACTTATATACACAGATACTAATATTTAATGAGCGATAAATGATATAACTTGTATAACATTTATTTTCTTTTGCTTTGTAAGACATGATAAAAACGAAAAAATTATGGATACCTATTCCGAACTCTAACGGTGGTCATCGTCGGGTACCGCCTGTTGCTATTCGTGCTGGTAAAGAGCACAAGAGTAGTGTCAAGTAAACTAAACAAAAAAAAAAGATTTAATTGACGTGTTCATATCCCACGCTGCTATGCTCATGATTATCTTCTGTCGTTGATAGTTTTTGTTTAATTTCAATTTTTTGTTTTGTTTTAGGCATTGGCTATTTGAAGAATTTCTTTCACATGATGAATGTGTAAATCTAATAAAAGTTCATAAAGAACATGTGAAAAAAATGAAAGAAATCGATCCAATTATATGTTTTGATAGTATTCAAACGTTACGTAAACATCTAAAAGATTTAAAACCGAATACAGAACTTCATGTTACACCGAATGACTTTACTAAAGGTTAAAAAGGAAAATTGTTTTCGCTGTCATTTTTATTTTCACAAGTTACTTGTTTGTGTAGGCACGACATGTGTAAATGCAACATTTTCATCGACACTTAAACAGTGGGGATTAAAATGGTCGTACTCAACAGCATTTTATCTTGGTGAAAGTCCATTTTCAACAACATTATCAAAACGTATCGAAGACGCAACTGAATTACAATCAAATCACGGTGGTAAATTTCAAATAACATCAACAGAAAAAGGCGTTGGTAAGTCATCGATTGAAAACGATGTTCGATCGAATGTTCCTTTCCTATTAGGTTACAAAGCTCATCACGATTGTACTTTGAATGGACTGAAACAAGATCGTTATGCTACATTTTTATCGTATTTAAATACTGTAAAGAAAGGCGGCGAAACTGAATTTCAAGGTAAAAAAATTATTTTTAATTTAATTTAATTTAAGTCAGAAAATAAAAGTTTGTTTTCTCTTAAAGATTTAGAAATAAAAATTAGTCCAAAAGAAGGTCGTGCTATTGTATGGAATAATATGAATGCAGATGGAGTCTGTGAAGAAAATAGTATTCACTCAGCGAATATTGTTGAAGATGAAGAAGAAAAATTCGTTATACAACGATGGTAAATCTATTTATCAAATATCAATTTATTCCTTTGTTTCTCAATTGAAGGTATTATTATGAAGATTTCTATTCACTTGGTAAACGTCCACCAGAACCAAATCAACCAGAACGAAGTTCAGGTCAAGCACGTGTCTCATGTGACGAATATGACATGGGAAGTTGTCGTGCTTATGGTAGTGAATAATATTATTCTTATTAATTGAATCTAATTATATTTAACTTAATTTAGACGAATGGAATTACGATCATTTATTGAAATATCGCAATGTCAACCATAATCTTGTCTAGCAAATAATAATTAGCTGTGCTTTTTTTAAATATTTATGATTGCTTTATTGCGATAAGTAAATAAAAGAATATACACATTCATAAATTGAATTATGATAATAAAACAAGAAGAAAAAAGAACTCGATTGATTTTCTATTGATCTCGTTGATTATACTGCATTAGTGCATGGCCTGTGAAGTCACAGAAAAGAAAAACACCGGATCGAAAATAAATACGTGATAGATGCGAGATGGTTTATAAGTATACATATATATATATATATATATATATATTCTCACTTATGCGTACGGACAGGCTCAATGATTATGTTGTAAGATCATGTGCATATACAAACAAACCAACTACAAATTGATTGATGTGTTGTAACTATTCTCTTGTTTTCTCCTAATGGTATGAGTCGTATCGTTTCTCTTTGTCAATTAATATTCTAGTCTGTGAATAATGTAACAATCGGGATCGAAAAACGCCTACTAGCCACGACGACAAATGATATTTACGTTACTTTAACATCTGTTACTCAAGACATGAGTGTTGTCACCGTCGTTTTTCTTCTCTTCGTATCGTTCTTTATTAAGAATACGTACAGAATATATCTAAATGCAAAAAAAAACGATAATGAGAGAAAGAAAGAAAAAAGAGTTGAGTTTATGAGAAAGAGAGAGAGAGAGAGAGAGAGTCGCATAAGAGACGTAACATTTGTCGTCTCTCTATCTTACTCTCTCTTCATCGATGTCGATGAATAAGCCACAAATAGTAGAAAAAAAAAAGAATAACAACAAATCTATTAACTTTTTTCCTATGCTTGTGTTGTTTGCCTTTCTCTCTCTCTCCTTCTCTGTCTTTTCAACCGAATATCTTCACGTTTATAACTAAATTGAGCGAAGGATAACAAATACCTAAGATTTTTGTGCTGCTTACATGTGCAACTGCTCATTTTTTTTAATATTTTATTTTCATATCAATACAATAGTGCAAATCGAGCAAAACCACGAACAACAATGAAAAAATCGCGACTACTTGTTGTAGCCTTGATTGTTGGTATAGTTGCACATGTCGGTAAGTTTATTTGAAAGTTAAACAAATTCTATATCATGACCATGACCTTGCTTGAGAATGTATATAACACTTATCAATTATCTATCAGCAAAAACTTATCTGATTGCAAGAGAAAATAAACAAAATCATCATTAAATAATTTGATCGAGATTTTATTTTATTTTGTCTTCTAGGACAAGCAGATGAACTCAATTTTCAAAAAATATTTTCTAAAGTAGCAACAACTGCTCAGGATCAAAATATTTTATCACAACTTGAAGAACGTTTGCCAAAATTCCTTGCTATAAATAGTAAGTAATAACAAAAAAGAAAGGAACAAGAAATTATTCATGTTATATATCATTACGAAACCATAAACATGCCATAATAAAAACCAAATAACATAGGAAATATTAAATGATTTTCTTTTCTTTTTCTATTTTTCGTAGTACCTTCAAATGAAAATGTCGACAAGTTAGTTAATACATGTCATGCATATCGTCTTATGATTTCTTTTTATTGTACAGAGCATTTCCAAAATTTAAAGAAGCACTTCGACTAATTCCTGCAAACATTAAATGCGACAGTCTACTTGATGCCACGAGCGCTCGAGATCTATTTCCTGCAATACAACCAATATATCGTTATCTCAAGGTTTGATATATTTGCGTTTTGTTGTAATCGATCAATCATTATTTTTTTTGCATCGCCAATAATAGCTCTCTATTTTAAGATGTTATTTTCCTTCTATTGAATCGGTTCATTGCACATTATGTTCCAGGTATCCTTGAGTGTTGAAAAGAAATCATTTGTGCAATCATTCATCGATTTGAAATGCGATGACACATGAGATTTATTATTTTCTTTTCAATTGAAGTAGTGTTTTCCTGTGAAAAAATATTTCTTTCAAGGATAAACACCGGACTCGCTAGAGCTTATTACAATGGATATTTTCGATTATGAATAGCATTGAAAAGAAATATTATATTTGTCTTTGACAGATATTATTTATTAATGTAAGAGTATTAATAATCGAGATAAAAAATTAGATGAATTCACAGGAGAATATTAGTTATTATTGTCTTACAGATTCAGTGAATAATCGAATTTCTAATTTAGTAGACCTTTCAATGATATACCTATAATCACGACGATGGTGACCTCTGAAGAACGGCTTAACACTTTACCGTATAGAATTGAGAATGTCAATGTTACATTAATGGTCATGACTATTCATTGAGATTCTCTCTCTCTCTCTCTCTCTCTCTCTCTCTCTCTCTGTCTCTATGTACAATTTCAAAGTCGAATCGAATACCAAGACAGAACAAACATTTAAGAAAACTATAATCATTTACAAAGTGTGTCTGAGATTAGCTTGGCTGCTTTTATTGAACAATGAAATCGATAGTTTTTGGGTGAACGAAGATAAAAGAGTAGAAGTTCTGTGTGTAGAAAATTGAAACACAAGCGTATCGCTCAAAATGCCTTTAATTATTTTAAGGTAACCAATACACGAGGAGAACAGGGCAAACAGCCTTCAATAATTACAGTCATATAAAAACTATTTTTATGGCTTATGAATTAATAGGAAATTCTCTCCGTAGGAAATATTTTCATCGGAAAAAGAAACAAAACTATTTACTGTTATTGACACGAGAGCCATGCAATTATGAACTTGATAGAAGGCAAGCTCAATACAAATCTGGAATTAATATTTTGATTACTCAAGTTTTACATTTCTATTATTCAGCAAGAGAGAGAGAGCCTATCGGGATTTATTAGATTTATTTAGATTAATCTATTGATATCATATTTAACATTCGAACTTCAACAAGACGAGCAATATTATTCTGATCGTGTCTCTATCAGGTGTCTAGTCTTAGCATAATACCCTACATTCTACGATAGGACATATACAGTGAAGGACTTTTAATCTGCTGATTAGAAAATAAAAGAAAATTGAAATAGAATTAATACATCTGTTCGAACAAAATCTGCTTAAAAAAAAATTTTCAAGAATTTTTCTCTTTGAATAGAAAAAGAAGAAGTAAAGTAACAGTTAACATGTCTTTTTTCTTGAACTATAGGACACAGTATGGAAATCAATATTGAAATTAATTGATTTACCGCAAGAATTACGTCGAATTCCAGCACAAAATTTAGCTGAAACAAATTTAAATAATCTACTATCATATTCTGATGAAGACACGGTTTCAAACGTACTTGAATTGAATTCAAATCGACAGGTAAAAATTTCATACGCAAATGCATTCTGTTCTTCTTTCAATATTCTATTGGTTTATTGATTGTAGGATTTTAGTGATGGTCAAAAATCAATCCTCGTTCAAAACTATATCGATAAAATAAAAACAAAACTTAATCCAGCTAATTTTCAGCAGTTAATAACACAGAGATTAGGCGCATCATTTCTTCGCTATCTTCCGTTGGATTTTCTTCTTAATAATTCAATTTTCAATGACAATGGCGTTATTCGTAATGTGTTTGTATTGTTTCGAAAAGAAAACACAAAGGAACATTGTTTTCATTTCAAATATGACTCTATGTTTATTCTAGTGCAACATGGCTCAATTTACTGAGTCCATTACAACGTGATGCTATCTCAAATAAAGTCTATCGATCATTAACAGATACTACAGGTAAAATAGTACAAAATACAAATCCATTACGATTAACAACTGATGATCCAAGTGCATTGGACATGGTTGCTCGTATGATGCCGAGTTTATCGACAAGACAAATAATCAATGCTGTTGGAGATAAAATTGTAAAGTTTTCTTCGTAGATTTACACACCAACTCGGTTTTGTTGTTTTCACAAAGGTTCCATTACTTGACCGATCAAGTGTTCGAGAAGATCAATCGTGTGCAACTTCTCTTGCGTTACTTAATCGAACATTAGAAACAAAACGCTCCACAAATCGTCATTTTCGACCTAATCCACAGTAAAAAAACAGGAACAATAAAGAAATAATTCTTTGAGCGAAACGAACTTTTTTCTAAGGTTGATTCAACGATGGCAAGAATGTTATAGTGGTTGCGATTTAAGTGATCTCTTTACGGACCGACAAGATTTGAAAGAATTATTAAAAAATCATCCAAATCCAGAAGTAAATCGAAACTAATTGAATTCAATGAGTTTGTAAAGCGATGCTTTTATTTTTATTTTTTTCTAAAGAGTTGCGACCGTTTAGTTAATGAAGTTAAAAAAGAATATGATCTTGAACGTAGTGTTACAGTAAATAAATTACGCGATGTATCAGGTGATAATTAAACAAGAGAATTTTAATTAGGAAGCTAATTAATACATTTTCGAATTTAGATGCGTTCGGTTCAATTTATAGAACTGATGAAATAAGTGATTTAAGCGATGAACTTATGGCTGAATTAGGTAGAGATGAAAAAACCCTTGAAAAACTTGGTGCACAAGATTTAACACCCAATGAAGTAAGCAGTCTTTTTCATTTGGTTCCTGAATCTTACATTTGATTTAGGCACGAACAATTATGAATAAAATTCCACGATCAATACAAAATATTTGGGGTAAAAATATGCTTGGTAAATTAGGTAATTTAATACCCGGTATTGATAATACTATACTTAAACAAATATTAACACGTGGACGTGGTGATTTACCACCACTATTCAATAATACATCGCCATCATTTATTCGAAAACTTGTACCAAGTAAAATTCGTCTTCTCATTGATCAGGTAAATCGCACAGAAAATGAATATCGATTAGAAAATTTTCTTCGTTGTCTCCTTGTTTCTTTTTTGTAATTACTTAAGTATGCTACTGAGCCAAATCTTGCAAAATATCGCCAATTATTAGAATCGAATTATGCAAAAAAATATATTAAATCTGAAACATTAAATCAAATTCTTCATCTAGCACCTGATGTACTTCGTTTAATTCGTTTTACACCCGCTCAGGTAAGATCTTATTGAAGAGAATAAAACAACGATATATATATATATATATATTTATTTGAAAATTATTTAGGCTTCAGCTGCTATAGGCAATCGTTTAGGTTTAGATAAGAAATTTGATGGAAGTCTTGGTAACTTTGGAATGATAAGTAATTTTATCAATGGGTTAACAAAAAGCGATATTGAAAAAATAAAACCTGAAGAATCACTTCAAGCTGTACAACAAGCATTTGGTAGTTCAAAAACTAAAAATATTGATAATCAAATGCAATCAAATACTGTAACTCAGAGACACTTTTGAAAACAAAATAAATAAAATTTCATTTTTAGCGTTATGCATTTGGTAATTTATTACGTCGTGGTCTTCAAACAAGCGAAGCAACACAAAAAGCCGACGACTACATCAAAGGACTTTTCCGTGAAGATAATCTTGTCGACGATCTTAATCCACAATTATTCTCAACGATGACAAATGCTGAACTTGATGCCATTAATCGACTAGGCCATGACGATGCCAATCGATTTTGGAATGCTGTTGGTACAATTCGCGATCCAGCTTGTTGTTCGTTTGTGGATGAAAATCGATTTCGCTTAGCTGATTATGCTCTAAGATATTATGTAAATTTTATTTTCATTTCTAGTTGTGTTTTTGCCATTGATTGCTACTACTGTTTTTGTTTAGGGTTCAGCGACTGGTGATATAGATAACTTTAAGTTGTCTCAATTGGGACCATTTTTGGCGACGAGTTTACGTGCAAGCGATATTCGTCGTGTAACAACAGATGCGCTAATAAATAAAATAAGCTTCTTTAAATCGAATTGTTTTCAACCAGCTAAAGCCGAAGGACAAGCGCTTGGTGCTAGACTTAATGATGCACTTGGCGAAGTTGATGATAATCTTAAGGCTTTATATCTTGATCTTATTGGAGAATTAGCTATTTATCTACCCATGGATATTGCTGCTCCCAAGGTAGGTTTTAAAATGAACATAAAATAAATAGTAATAGATGGTAACTACGTGATATTTTCTATACGAAAAGAATTGCTCTTTTAAATTTTGAGTTCAGATGGTAGTTTAGCAGAAACGAAGATGTGCGAAATCAAAATCTCTTGAGTTATATTCCTATTGTCATGATCTACAAGATCATTTGCTTAAAACCATAGAATTCAGATATCGGCATCAACTCTTTTTCTATGGTCTCTTTCATTGCTATCGAAGCTAAAATAGTTTTCGTAAATCCCTTCCTCTCGTGAAAACAGCATCTCTATGTTCAACATGAGCCCATAGAAATTCGGCATATTAAAAATTGAGAAAAACTGCTAAATACTCCTTCATATCATTTTATTCATAATAATTCTAGCGTGTATTATCTCAACGAGCAAATTATCTCTCGAAATCACTTGATAAAATTCAAAATCGTGATGAAAGATGCAAAGTACCAGATCAAGATGGATTTTTAAGCAAAGCAAAACAAGGCATAAAACGAACATTGGTCAATGCTTTTCTCGATCAACGTTCATCATTTTTCAATCTTCGTAAACGCCGTGACGCAAATGAAAGTAAATATAATCGAATTGAATTCTTAAATTAATTTTAAATTTAGAAAATAATAATATAACTTGTCAACAATTACGACAAATGGGCTCGTCTATTTCTGCTCTTGCGGCTGATGAAATTTCATCGATTGCTGATGATGTACTCTTCGAATGTATCGATGCATTTGGTTCCGTAACTGGTTATAATTCAGATAGAATGAAACAGATTGCTCAAAAATATCTTCAAGTTAGATTTTTCTTTTTTCGAAAAGACCTTTGTGTTTTTTTAGTATTATTATTATTATCTATTCTAGGCATTAAAAAGTCAAGGTCGGCATATTCAATCGATAGGTCAACCTGAATTATATAAATTGAATTCAGTTTTAACTGGTTTTACTTCAAGTGAATTGTTACAATTACGAAGTGAACTTTTTCGTAATGGAAATTTCCTTTCATTTATTGGAAATCTCGACGGTTGGACAGGTGATCAGGTAGGTACTTTTGCTTCTTTCAATCCAATCAAATCTACTTATCATTTTCAAGCTCAAATCTCTAGCACAACTTACTCTCAGTAAGGAACAACGTTTATCACCACCAATTCTTGAAAATGCTGGTAAAATTTTATGTTCTGTTGATGAACAAGTTCTTCGCCGTGTACCATCAGAAGACGTCAAGTAAACCAAATATTTTTTTCCTTTTTCTACAACATATACTCTATTTTTCTATGCTATTTATAGATCTTATCTCAGTATTTTGGCTAATGTTGAATGTCCAACGGAAGCAAATATGAACTATTCATCAACAATGTTTGATATGGTTAAAAATGTCTATCAAGGTGATGCTTTTCGACCAGATATTTTTGGTTCATTGGGTACCATTGCTGGTAAGAATCGAAATTAATTTTGTTTTAATAAAAACAAAAGCTAATTTCCTTCTCTTCAAAGCTGGCTTGAAATCAGCTGATCTCAGTGCCTTATCACCAGAATTATTTAATTTTTTTCCACAACAAGCAATGTCCTATTTACCGAAAGATATTTTAAAATCATTTAATCTTGAACAATTACAAAACTTAAATATTGAACAAATAAAATCTATTCCGACAAGTATATTTGGTGCATTGAGTGGAAAACAAATGACAATTCTCAATCAAATACTTTATCCATTCAAATCTTCAGGTTAGTTGAAGTTGTTCTTCTTTAATGTTTTTGTTTTGTTTTATAATTTCATAAATTTTCATCATCAATATAGAAGAAATTGTAAATTTAAGTCAAAAATCAACTAATGATGATGTTGATGTATTGATCGAGAGTGGTATGAATATATAGAGTATTATGCATGATAAAAAGGGGCCTATAAAAATAGTCATTCTTCTTTTTCTTCCGTTATTTATTCCTTGATTCTTTGGAATAAATAGATAATAAAATATCGCTTTTGTTTTTCTTAATTCTAGCTGGATTTATGAAACATACATATTCAACGACAATTGTATGGCTATTACCTCTAATTTCAATTATTTTTATTCATCGATTTAATGCAGTCTAAATAATGGAAGAAATTCATCGAAGACAATTATTGCCTAGCAAAATTTCTTCTTATTCTATTTTTACGTAGCATAGCTTGTGTGTGTATGTTCAATGCTTAATATATATTCGTGTTCGTGTGTGTGATATTAAGGCTTTTGTTTTTCGTCTTTGTTAGAACAGTATGTGGCGTCTTTTTTGTTCTGCTATTGACTAAAGAATAATAAATATCATTTTAGCTAGAAATATTACAACTGAAAAGCACATTCATGCATTCGATTCAGATTAGAAACACACGATTGCAAACAATAGCATAAATCAAGGTCAAGGAAAAAATGCCTATTCAGCTTACAGAGAAACAACAAACGTTGTCGATGAATAAATCAAGTACGAATATTCAACGTATAAGCATGTTTGGTTCTGCAACGTAAAGAAATAAATAAAAAAAAACGGAATATATGACAAGTCAATGTCTGTTTGATGATAAACAAGAAAGTGTAATCTTTGGACTCGGCTAAGTACGAGTTATTCAGAACAATTTTATGGAGATATGAAAATGAATATTCATCTCTTTTGTTTCGCGATAAAAAAAAAGTAAGTGATAATTGAGACATGACAAACAGAAACTGATACAAACATTCTATCACTCCACACTTGCAATTCTAGTAGGACGATGATGTATAAGTAGATAACAGGTTTCAAAATAAATAGGACAATATTACAGCAAAAGCATCAGATAATCTAGAAATAGGCATGTTTCATTGGTGGAAAACATCGATGCTATTAATCTTGATTTAATTTATTCCAGCACGGAATCTGAGTATTTCACATAAATGTAAATGATATAGTTCTCTGTTCGAGTTGAAATAAACTGCCATATTGACTGACACAGCTGGCTCTTTTTTGTAAGAAATAATTCTTGTAACATGTGTTTCGAAAGACGACGACCAAAATTCTGATTCATTATTTTAAAATCTATATCTCTATTTCTTTTTCTTTTTCAAATGGCTGAAATAGTTTTAATAAATATAAATTTTAATTTTATCGCAAATAAAGTGCGATCAAAAGCCTCTCAATCTTGTGGAAATGAAAAAGATTCAAATTAAGATGAATTAGGATAGTAGCGATTTAGTATGTAATAAAAGCTTCTACGTTTTCAAATTTAAAAGACAAATGCGAACAATCAGTAAAGAAAAAAACCTAAGCATCATGGTTGATTTGTTTTTGTACCGATGCTCTTAGCTGATTCTCAAAATGTGGCTGAGTGATTCGATTGTCTGAAATCTATCATTGTGTAAATAATCGATTTTAATCTCAATGAACTGATAGCTCAAGATGTATAAAAAAAGTATTCAAAATGAAAAAAAGAAACTTTTCTAATCACTGGATTTGATTTATCAGAATTTAATAATAACTTCGAACAAAATAATTCGATATTTTCTAGTGACAATTCATACCGATCAAAAGTCTACTTTGACTTGGAATTCCTCTAAATTTGTAGGGTCTCAAAAGTCGCTAGTAGTGCTTATCATTAAATAGAAGACTTGAGGGTGTTTCATCAAAAATTAGTTAGAAAGGACACTATGTTTTCATAGTATAGAAAAAGCTTAGTAATGATCACAGGCATCTTATCATGTAGTAAAAAAGGCATCTATCTGATGGTGAATCGAATAAACTTATTTCAAGGGAGATTCAATATTCAAAGACGAACAATGTATATTTATCGATTAGCATGATGCCAGTAGCGTTCGACTGCTATGAATAATTGTATAGATGAATTTTTATTATAATGATTATACTATTCTGTATGTCAACGATTAGTAGAGTAGTACTTGTCTTTTATATGGAGCCTTTTCAATGGACGAACTACTTTCTTTTCATAACATTTGTTCTCATCGAAAGATTTTCACATTCCAGTACCTAAAGGTAGTTTTAAATACTCAATGATTTCTATTGAAATGGGATACGGATTAGTAAAAAGAATGAAATTTATGAGACGGCATAAACATTCATATATATATATATATATATATATACGGATTCAGCACAGAAAAAAAAGTCATACTGCTGATATTTAAGTTGTTTACGACGATGAAGAGGTCCATAATTTTATGTACGATATTCATTACTTTCGCTTTGGTTCTCTACACAGAAGCAATAAATAATAAATATGAACGATTATTTCCAATGAAACGTCGTGTAATAGAACAAGATGACTTACACGATGATAGCAGCATTGAAGAGATTGAAAATGTTCGTCGGGTATCGTCAGACTGTGAACGCTGTGGTTTACTTCGTCGTCCTTGTTGCTTTCCAAATTTATGTCGACGTACAGCTGGTCAACTAAGCGAATGCTACAAAGTTTCTGGATAATTCTGAAAGTCGAAAACAAAACTATTTCATTAATCATACTATCATGAAATTTCTGTTTTGATTATTAATCGGTTTTAAATTAAATTCGATGAAGATTTTCGAACTCACATCTTCGTATTACAAAATATCAAGAAAAACTAACATACTTCAAAATAGGCATATAATGTATAAATGATATTATTTACTTTATAGTCTAGTCATCGTTTAACATTAACTCTTGGATCTATAGGATTAGTCTACAGGGCATAGAGCATGAAAGAATCGCTTACTATGCATTCGATGAAGAGTTCTGACACTGGTATTAGTGTGAACATAATAGATATAATAAAAGTCGTACCTCATTACGAGCTCAAGATGATGACTAATTGAATATCGTAGCTGAATGATAAAATCTCACCAGATACGAAACGTCAACAGCAGTAGCAGCAGCAGCAGCAGCAGCTGTGAAGTGGTTAGATTCAAGATATCTTCAGTTATTTTTTTTATGCATGTCACTGATAACATTCAAAAGGTACCATGACGCACTAAACAATTTCGTTGGGAAGGCTTATCCATTACGACTCACATTTCTTTGAAAGTAACTCAACAAATATTATAGCATATAACAAAACTATATTTAAATCAACGAAGAAACAGGATGCACTTGTACGCATAAAACATGACAATAGAAGTGTCTAGTTATGATAGAAGTGAATCATAGCGTTTTAAAATTAGTACTAGACACATGTGTCTCTTTTTCATTGCTGCATCTGTTAGACTGTGAGAGAATTTTAATTTCGTAACTGCTTATGAGTAATGCATTTCTTTTCTTAATTCATTTTTTACGCTGTACTTCTAGAGGAAAACTATTTGAACTGAGTCTTCGGTCAAACTAGCGATATAGAAAGATCATGCGCTCATATAGATGGCAGTTATTAAGTAAACGAAAGCTTCTATTTACTAGAGAGTACTGTTTCATTACTTTACAAATAAAAGTATGCTTTGTTTAGTTCTTCACTAGTTTTTTTTTTATTTGGATTCTTTATTTTATTTAAGCAATAGAATAAACTTCTTTTAAGATTTCTTCATCTGTCGATTATATCAAAACATCAGTTTGGTACTATTATGGCATTTATATAAAAGAATATTCACTAACAAATCCCGAATAGATATTCTATGCGATCCAGCTGTTATATGCACGGAAAAGAGAAGAATTTCGTCAGAATGCTAAATACCGTAGTCAAATGTAACACAGAAAAAATAATGAAATCTTTCGTGACAACTATCAATAGAAGAGTTTATATTGTAAAACTAAAAATTCGTAAATCGTATTTTTTTTCTAAGCAGCGAGAATGTATTGATTAAATGAAGATACTATTGACAGTAGTATTAAAACGTGTCTTAGCTGTTTCAATCAACATTCAATACGTGTGAACTTTAGATAAGCATAATCCTTAAAACGACCTTATATGTCTACCTCTTGTCCCTCGAAATGTAAAATAAATCTTACGAAATCTAGTCATGGGTTTTCAATTTTCTCTACATTTAAATTTATAATTATATCGAAGTTATTCGTATGACGGCCGATCTTATCTTAAATAGCCGATTCAAGTTTGTATGTAACCCACACTATTATAACGCATTTTTAAATCTTATGATTGAGTGCAGCATTGTTTCTGAAATCAAAGAGTACAAGATCAAATATTTATCTTATAAACAAGACAACCCTCGAATTGATTTAAAAATTCCATCGAGCAAAAGAGCGTGGCTTCTGTGTGTTTTTTTTTCGTCTGAAATAATTCATTCTTAGTTATGTTGTTATCTATTATTTGACTCGATTTCTGTATAAGAATACTTATTCCCTAGGAATGAAAATACTAGAAATTATTTCTAATAAGAATAATTTCATGCTTCTGCTTGTTGTATATTTTATGATTGCATTTATCTGTAAAGAAAGGTTATTCGAGTGTAATGTTCTCCTTGATAGTGGATAGTTGAGCAAGAACTATAATTTTATGTATAGAACAGTAAATAAACATTTTTCTTCTTCGATCGTTTTATCGATCAAATAATCAGCTTTTACGGAGTGATATTTTTATTGCGTATATAGTAGAACGAACAAAAGCTTTGAGAGACGTCGTTCATTCGTTAACATGCTGAAATAAAAGAAAAGAAAAGAAAAGAACAACGTAGAACTGATTTAATAACCAGAAGTGAGATTATAAAGATTTCCTTCAGCGTAAAGATGTAGCTAACTATCAGAAGTTTTACTACATAAACTTCAAAATACGAATCGTACATACGTATAGTAACGATTGATTCTATTTTGTTTTCGATACATTGTCGAATACAATTACAAATTACTTATATCGTTAAAATATTGACTGATGTTTTGTTCTATTCAAAGTCAATACTTATAGCTTAGAGTATATTGAAATGCCATTAATTCGTCGTAATGATATGCTTGATCAGGCATAATGTTCATTTTTCCATTATGTTTTTTAATTGGCATAAGAAGCTTCACACATTTCACGCTTTGAAAAATAAATCCGATATTTTTATGCATAACTATCTTGCATATAAATGCGAGAAAAGTGTGTCTTGCTGACGTTTAATGTTTCTTATAAACAAAAAAAAAGTACAAAATACGAGATTCAGGTATTTATTTAGCAGATATCCGACAGTGAATATATGCTTAAGTTTCAAGTTCTACACACCATTATTGAAGTGCTTTATCTTATGTTAGTAAGAAATATCATAAGAAGTTACACTTCTTTTCGAGCAAAGAACGCAAAAGTTTTTTTATCAAATACAAAACTTTAGTTTATCATGTAAAACTGGCGCATTTCGAATTTCAATTTTCACTCATAGAGGTCTTTCTGGATAAGAAAAGCTGATTCTAAACATTCGAATAGAAAGAAAATCTCTTGATTGAGAAGCCAAGATAATATATTAAAGTCTGATTTTCAATTTTTTCGGAACTACATGTCAAATTTTTTTTTAATTATCTCATTTTGCTTTCTATGTTTTGCATTTATATGCGGGTTTGTATATGTTCTCATTCTGCCACTACCGAAAACGGTAGATAGCTGTTCGTTTTTTCTTCTCTTACTCTTTTTCTTTCATTACATTTTTCAATATTGCTGACTAGCCGACCACTTAAGTGGTGTCACGACCCCCACATTCATTTCTTTTTATTCCGATACGAATACATTTAAACTTCGACTGCCAATCGATTTTTCGTTTTCAATGAATAAACAAAAGTCTACAATATATTCGTAATGTTTCGTATTCGAACAATAATGAGAACAAGCTCTGGATATCATAGTCATCGTAGTGGAGAACAGGTATTTAGAAAAAAAAATTGTTTTTATCAATATACATCTATCTAAGATAGATCATATTTAATTATTTCTTTTTTGTTCTCGAATAATATCAATTTTGTTTTTCATTATGCTAAGATAAAATACGGTTATTTATTGCAGCGTAGGAGCACGTGTGTTCTTACTCAAATGTACGTAGAAAACAAAAAACAAAGAAATAACAGCACATGATCTTGTTGCGACGTTCGATAGTATGCGCGTGTGTGTATAAAACAAATTCGATTAAGAAGAACGAAAACAACATCGTATTTCACACCTGGACCCTTAACCTTCAATTTTCCCCTTTTTCTCTTTGTGCGATAAACATCTATGCATTCCTTTCAAGCATAGTTACAAAAGCAGCATCATATGAAAAAGAAAGCAACATCTGCTGCCTAATATGCTTGGATAAAGTCCAAAAAAAAGCAGAAAAAGAATGTTCTCTTTCTGCTTTATTTCTGCCTCATTTCTATGGGCGTAGTAATAGTAAATGGATGTATAACACCATATGTTTTATTTCATTCATATTTTTGTTCTATAGTTTTCTTTCTTTCATTATCAATAGCATTATTGTAGCTCGCCAATTGAAAATATCCAATATTGTTAACTATTGCTTTTCTTCTACGCTTGATTATATCACTTCATTGTAGTACGCAACAATATCCAGAAACAGAAGAAAACTACAATTCTACATTCATCCAAATACTTCTTATCTCATCCATGAATGAACATATTCAACGATGATGATGATGATGATGATGATGGGAAAAAGAAGTCACTTGCCGCTGTTGCCGGTAGGCAAAAACTACCTGAAAGATGAGAAAATCAAGAATGAGTCGAGTTAGAAAGTGCATTGTAATCTTTTTTGATTTTCATGTTCTATTCATTATTGAAGAAAAGGAAAAGAATAAACATTGTAGAAGAATTTTTATGTAATAAAATATCTCGACACTTCATTAATCATAGAATGTGTGAAAAAAAAATATATTAAATGAATACGTGAAGATACGTACACATGAGACTTTATCAGATGCACGTGGTCCCTAGCTGTGAGACAATCATCGTATGTTGTAGACAATATGAAGAGCAACAAAGAGAATGTCGAAGAGCTGCGAACAGCTGAGTGATCTTTTTTTCTCTTTCGTTCTTCACATGTACGCCCCCTACGGATGGCTTGAAAATATAATTTACTATTCGATCGTTGTCGTGCGTATGTTTTTCTCTTTTCTTATCTATTCTATTCTTTCATTCTCTATCTCTCATACGGTTAATACTATCAACGAAGCTTATTTAGTTTCTGCTACTGTCTTTCGTTATACCGAACGAATAAGTAGGTATTTTTCAGAAACTATTAAGAGAAAAAAAACAAGGACATTTTTCTTCTTTTTTCTGTCAAAAACAGAAAAGAACGAGAAAAAGAATTTTTTTTTGTTTTCAATGAACACTTTTTCTTATCACGATATCATTAATGTTGAACAATGAATCAGGACAAAGACGAAGTGGTTATTGTTGAAGAAGAGGTGAGATTTGAATAAATACATGCCTACCGCAACAAAGCAATCAAAAAAGATTTAAACGAATCTAAATAAATTAATTTCTACTAATTATATTTTTATTTTCTAGGGTAAAGACAGTGGTGGTGTTGCTAGTGAAACAGCAACAAATAGTGGTTCAAATAAACCTCAAGCACAAACCGATGATGATGACGACGACGATGATGAAGATGAACCCGTTTATATTGAATCAAGTCCATGTTCTCGGTGGCAAAAACGACGCGAAACAGTATAAAGATTAACATCCATATGTCAAATAAAATATTTCATCTTTGTAATATAAGGTCCCCCAACGTGATATTCCGGGTATTGATGCATCCTACCTAGCAATGGATACTGAAGAAGGTGTTGAAGTTGTTTGGAATGAAGTTTTATTTTCCGAAAGAAAGATTAGTGACATACAGCACGTATGTAAAATTGAGTATATTTGATTTTTCTTAAGTTCGATATTAATTCTTTTATTTAGAATAAAGTCAGTGAAGTTTTCAATAAATTAATCGATTTGAGCCATATGAATATTGTTAAATTTCATGATTATTGGCAAGACCGGACGAAAAAAGATGATCGTCCACGAGTAATTATTCATCGAAACAAAACCTTACATTGTTGACATTCCTTTTATTTAATCATATTTAGGTTGTTTTTATAACTGAATACATGTCAAGTGGATCTCTAAAAACATTTTTACGTAAAACGAAAAAAACAAAACAAAACCTATCGAAAAATTCTTGGAGACGTTGGTGTATTCAATTATTATCAGCATTAAAGTATGATATGAATTTCAATATTCATTCAAATCTATAAAACATAGGATTTTATAGTTATCTACATTCACGTGAAGAACCTATCATTCATGGTAATCTAACTTGCGATACAATTTTCATACAGAATACGGGCCTTCTAAAGATTGGATCACGTAAGTTGAATTTAATAGAAACTCAATTGTTTTTATGCACAGAAAAATAGATTGTAATAAAAATAGATAATACTTATATCTGTAGTACATTACCCTCAGTTGAAAACTTTTGCTGATTTGGGAGTCGGTAGGTTCTGATTATTTGATGTTTTTTATTTTGTGCTTTTTTCTTGTCGCTCAGCTGTTACTAATTTTGAAAAAAAAAGGAAAAAGAACTAAATCACGCATTGTAAATCGCTACGTTTGAAAACAAAACAAAAACCATTAAGATTGCCTATTTGCTTGTTTAGTTGCTCCTGATGTATTGCATCGACATGTAAAAAGTATAACAGATTCACCAACAAAACATTTACATTTTCAAGCTCCAGAAATCGATGATGGTTAGTCAACGATATTGAGTTTTTTTTCATTTTGTTTAGTTTTAACTTTAGAATTAAATCAAATCACAACAGCTGTTGATATATATTCACTCGGTATGGTCACACTTGAGGTATTTATTTTGATGAATTTCAATCGTTTTACTATCAACACTTGACTTATAAATAACAATAAGTTCTGCTTTTGTTTCAATTGAAAACCTTGTAGTAAAAAGAAAAAGAAAAAGAAAAAGCATTAACATAAATACTTCAGCTAACGTTTTTCTTTAATCACTTCGCTTGACTGAGTTGCGAAGTAATCAGTGAGTCGATATTTAGAGAGAGAGAAAAATAGACGTTGTACAGTGTCAAAATCAAAGTACATTATGCTTAGGAAGAGATTATAAATATTCAATAGAAAAATAAGACATTTAGATTGTCAAGAGTTGTATTGCAAATAATGAGCTACAAAAAATAAATAAATAGCCACAATACCTAGTTTAAGATTAATGAAATCATTATGAGTGTTAAAACGGATAGCGTTGTCAAAAGTAATCAGATAAAAGAGTCGTACGATGTACTTGAAACGAACATGAAGAACGTTTACGCTTAGCGTTTTTGCATGTTGACAAGAACGCATTAGGTTGAATGCGTTTCGATAATTTCATCATGATAAAAGGAAATAAGAAAACAAGCGATTTGCCTTGATATTGATAGCTGTCAAGTGCCGCATTTCGGTCGTCTTGCAAAATACAATCGTTTACAGAAATTGGGTTTGTTGATAGATTGTAAGAGTCAGTTATAATAATTTACTAACTCTTCGAGAATAAAACAAAACGTATTAGAAAATTCGATATACTTTTACAAATTCTATTCGATTGCCTTATTCGTGCTTCATAGAACCACCGAGATACAAGACTTTACACAGTTTCATTTTTACTTTTTTTGAATTCAGCCAATTTTCTTATAATATCTTGAAGTTTTTCTACAAATAGATTCTCATTTTTACTGAATACTTTTTCCGCATAAAAACGTTGGAATATTGAAAAATCGAATTTGATTTGTGGCATACTCTTTGAAGGAAAATTCAAATCGTCGAGACAAAACCCAAAAGGAGTTTCAGTCTGACAACTATTCCTATCAAAAGGCATAAATAGGATTGAAAATTTAATTGTAGCCTCACGTAGAGCTCGTCGGATTTGATTGCCACCTGGAATAAATTGATGAAATCCTTCGTCAAGAGTTCCGATGGAATTCTGATAGAGATGGTGAAGTTTGCTTTAAGAGTCAACAGATTAAGCCGAAGCGTACTAGGGACTGGAAATCGGTATTCAAGCATAAATGCCTTGTTTTATTATTGAAATAATTAATAACATTTAGATGATCAATGTTGATCTTGGTGGAAATGGTGATACACATTCAATAACAGAAGAGGTGGTGAACGAAGCTATTGAAACTCTTGAAAATCCTGTTCAAAAGGTACCAATATATTTTTCATTGTAAAATTGATTTATAGAATCAAAACAAAAACCGTTTTCGTCATTTATTCAAGGATCTTATTTTGCAATGTCTCGAAACCGATCCAGCAAAACGACCGACAGCACGAGAATTACTCTTTCATCCAGCTTTATTCGAAATTCCAACTTTAAAACTTCTATCTGTTCATTCGTTAGCCGATGATATTCGTAAGAAATCAAAAGATTCTCAGTCTAAAAGTCACTTTTATTTTCAATAAAATCAAGGCTCAAAACCAGATCGTTCATTTGTCTCACCATTTCATCGACCAATACAAAATGAGGAAATCTTCGCTGAATTAGAACCTGTTCGAGAAGGTGTCAAAATGGTTATCTATACGTATGTAATTCGATATATAAATTCAATTCCATTTTCAAAACAATACTTTTTGTGTTTTAGTTTCAAAGATTGCCCGTCATTTGATTTAGATAAACTTCTTGAAGATGTTCAAAGTGGTTTACATCCTATCACTGCCTATCATATTCTATTTCCAACCCACAGTTCATTGAGTCTAGTAGCAAAACTTCCTAATAATGAAAAACTTTTAACAGCATCATCGTCAAGTTCATCATTACCTCCATCAACTCTAATAAATAATGACACTGATTTAACAAATTCTGTGCAATCAATAACTGACTCATTTGTTTCCTATCCAACAAGTACGAATGATTCCAATTTACAGTCCCTAACAAATGGAATGAAATCAAGGACTGGTACAGTCACATTTGAAAGAACAAGTTCAGCAAACAATGATTCAGAACATCATAATAATGATTCAACATCAACGCTAGTTAATAATAATAATGCTAATAATAATACATCAACGGCATCATTATCAAATAGCGATGAAAAGGAAAATCGACGAATTATTGATATACAGTGTAAACTGAAAACAAAAGACACGCGCTCATCTTTGGTAATAATAAAATACCTGTTAGAATTGATTTTGTTTTTAAACTCTCCCTTTATTTCTGATTAGTTACTTATCAGTGTGAAGTTTCAAGATCGATTACAACGAGATATGACAGCCGAAGTAGACTCAGATGAATCATCAAATACGATAGCAAAAGAATTGTTGGAACATGGCTTATTTCATGAGGTAATTTTATTTAAATCAAATAGAGACCACGATAAACTTTCCGAGAGAACTACGAATTGCAACAACATTTCTCTGCAGAATTGTGAATTTTACTCGTGCGTTTTGTAAAGTCTTGGTTTTTTTATTGAATATTAGAGCAGATCTTCACGAATTAAAGGAAGAGATATTTTTATGTCTGTCTCTGGTAAACGCTTGTGAAGTTCTAAGGTCCAATGAAAGATGAGCATATCGTGTTTGGTATGAAATGAGTCTGATGTAAAGTTTGAGATAACATTTACGAAGAGAACATCAAATTTTCATTGAAATTTAAAAGCAATGTCATTGATAATATTGATAAAATATATTTGATTAGTCGGCACACCAAGGCTGGATACGAATGTAAATAAAACCGTTTAAAAATCAGTATTCAAGATACACATACATTCTTTAAGAATACTACGCAAGAGAATCAAAAATATAAAAGACAAACAAAACAAAAGGTAATTTATCTAAATAATTCAATATTCACATTTCTTATGTTCAGCACATCATAAATCACTGGTACCAGAGAGAAAGATTTAATAGTATGCATTTATTTTTAAAAAATATCATAGAAGACTTGTTGTTATGATAAACAGAATTAAGTGCTAGACTAGTTCTCAGCAAGAAAATAGTTACCACAGGAAGCTAAAGGGCAATATCGATCGCGTAAATGATTTAGAATTTGTTTTGGCATGATTGAGATCGTTTCCAGCTTAGGTCTGAGCAAATTGCTAGTATTATATCCTCAAAATAATGATAGAAATTCTAATGTTAATTATAAATCATCAATAAAAATGTTTTCTTTTGAAAATACAAAAACATTAGAGTATTTATTGTAAAAAATATTTTAGGCTGATTACGTACGTGTTGAGCAATCAATAAATAAAGCATTAAATGCCACATTAACTCCTCAAGATCTAATTATCAATAATCCATCAGCATCATTAACTGATGTAAAAAAAACAACCGTAGCTCCACTACAGACTTTACAAAGTCAACTGAGTACATCAACTATGCCGAATGGAACATTGATAGATGGAAATAATACATCCGCATGGACTAATACACTATCACAGCCACTCTCGTTTCTACCGACATAAGTTGATTTTCGATTTTTATTTCTTTGTATAAATTGTTATTCTGCTGTGTACTCTACATATAATGAATATTTCTCAAAATGTAGACATTGGTGCTTGCGTTTTTTGTAGACATACGAATATACAGTGTTAACCTCTACGGTTTTCTTCTTTATGTACGCCAAGCGGCTTCTTGTTTCTCTAGTACACATGTGTCTGTACGAATCGTTTCGTTTTTATAATTTATTGATTCTTATTCTTATTTTGTTTGTTATGCTTCCTTCACGCCAAAATCGGTCTTACTTTCTTTCGGTTTCAATCTTTCCTTCAAGTCTTTCGGCATCATAGTTTTTTCTTCGGATGATAATAATTATTTTTTTGCAATTCATTTTTTGCTCTTCTTGATACGTCCATGTTGGCATCTCTATTTATAAAAGTGAAAGTTAGAAGAAGAAATTAAATGAAGTTTTAAAATTATTTTCGAACCTTTATTTATTCATTAAGAAGTCTAATGTACAACTATTTGATTTGTCAAATTCTACTAACGCTTTACAATGTTCTTCGTGTATGTGAATTTGTGGTCGACAATTTTTAACGAGATTAAATGCTTCAATTAATGACATATTCGTGGAATGCATTAAATAGACAATAGCTATAAATGGTGTTCGACTCATTCCACCACGACAGTGAATTAGTACACGATTCGAATGCTTTTCTCGACGAGCTTGATCAATAAATTGTAGTGTTAGAGGCAGATTTTTTTCACATTTATTTTTCGATACGCCATCGTTAATGTGAAATACACCATAAGTAAATTCCGATGGATAGTGACATTTACCAGCTAAATTTACTATATGAGTAATATTTAATGAATGAAGACCTTCTAAATTCTTCGACGTTTGACTACTACCAAGATAAAGAAAATTTTCAAGAAGTTCCGAATAATCGAAAGATTTTATTGGCAATTTTGATTGGTGGGATGCCATTGAGATATAGTTTCAATAAATGAATCTCATTATGTTCTGTCACTAGCTATGACTAGAATAGTATTGCGCAATAGTTTTGCAAGAAATATAGACGTCATATGACACATCACAGGCAAATGCTTACTATTTATAAAACTTGTCTAGAATGATTTACAATAAGTAAAAGTCTCGGAATGTAATAATTAATTAATTTGGAAGAATTTTCACAAAAATTTGAACTCAGAAAAAACGTTTAGAATTTTTCATTTTCAATGTTCAAAATACAAATTGGATATTCTGTTGTTTAGACATACGATGAAAAAATGTCAATGAATTACACTACTCATTTCGAAGAGTAAATCACGATATTAAAATTGATATATCTCAGTTATTTGTTACTTCGACAAGATAGATTCAACAATAAAGATCACACACAACATCAGGTGTACATATGCGAATTCAATTGAAGAAAACAACTCAACTGAAATGAGAATTGGAAATAAATCAAAGTGATTTTCATTTCGTTACCCATGCCAGATCTATAGAGCATGTATCTTAGAGAACCGTAGCTACTTGTATGAATAGCTAAAGGTGGTCAAGCTGAACAACTCTTAATAAACATCTCGTACATTCTCGGGGGTTCTGCAAACGGAAAAGCTTCATCTTTGTAAGAGAAATGTCAGTCTCGGTACATCCCTAGATTTAGGTATCGTTTTTCATCATGATTGATCAATACCTTGTTAATGGCATGTAGGCAATTGTATACGTAAAAATATGATCGTCAAAACGAGAAGTGAATATGATCCTGCGTCGATGATTACTTGAAATTCTGTCTTGATGAGAAAGTTGTTGAAGTAAACATTCTCTATTGACTATCCTTTGCATCAATTTCAGTTTGTGGTGGACATTACATTTTATTTTCAGGTCTCGTGTTCTTTCAATACAAATGTTTGCATCAATCAAATCATTGCTTTCCACATGAATTCAATGCATGATATTTAAACATGTGTACTTAAGATAACTTTTCGTTGAAGAAAAATACTCCTCGTGTAAGTGTGAAGAAACAACAACCTGTCTGAAACTTCAGATTGCATATAGAAAACTTGTTTGATCAGTAACTGATCTGTATGTTGCAGTTAAAAATTTATATTGTTTAAATTTTCTCAAGGATACGAAAAGTAAATTTTCTGAAAGAAAGTTGAGACATGTATATTTCATACTCTTTGGTTTCACCAGCTAATGGTAAATATTTTATTGCAAAAATCTAGAATCAACAAACACGAGTCGCAGAGTTCAATGTTTTTCTAGAACCGATTTTTTATTCTATTACACTGGTCTTTTTTTCTCAAGAGGACTCATCCATAATTCTGTACTATGGTAGCGTTTCCTACATTAAAAATATTAACATCATACTCTTTTCTCAATCACAAACAACTATACAATAATCCTTGTTCATAAACATTTTACCCAAGCATTCAATATCATGGTTTCAATCGATTTCCCAAACCTGAATAATTCAAAATTAAACGACTTTAAAGGAATTTAGTAGTATAGTTTTCGCCCGATTGTAATTTGATCACTAGTCACATGCCTTCAAATTAAAGCAGAACGCATAAAATATGTATAAATATATTCTTTTTAAATTTCCAAGCCGACGTCTTAGTCATCATATGCTTTCGAATGTCTATTTGAATCGAATTTCATGCAAAATATCAATAAGATAAATGGTTCAAATCCGCTAGACTGATATTTATCTCAAATAAATATTTACTGATTTATTTGTGCTGCATCATTTTTTTTCTGTACCCACGTCGAACAGTATGGTCCGTATACGGCCATTGACGCTTACTTTACGACTATTTTACGGGCGAAATTTTGCCGTAATATCTGGCGCAGTAATACGGACCGTATTATCATGAGAGTACGGAGCACAAACAGCCGTA